GAATGACGCCAATTTTGAATCACCCTGTATACCAGTCGTGGTAATGGCCGATTAGTATCTTATCGATGGCCGATTTTGCCGACCTCCACCGAAATATTTCCCAGAACAGTGAAATGTACCTATTTTGAGCCTCATCTAAGATAAGATTTTCCAAATTGGCCTGTTACATTTCTTAAGAAGGTCTGTTATTGTTAATGGCATAAGAAGTAACATCAGTGACTAAATGAGATGGAATACCTACCTATGTGACCCTATTAAATTGATACCAAAACGGGCCTTCGTGACTTCGAATTTTATTATTTAGTTCACGACTACGGACGGAAAAGTAATAGCCGCATGCTTCTTTCATGAATAAAATTAATGTGACCGGTTATTGTTGAACAGAAAAAACGTATAATGGCACTCGACCTTGCTGTGGGCGCTTTAGTTACGTGTCCCATTATTGTTGAAAGTCTGGTAATCGCGATCAGAAATTCGGATTTTATTGTTTTGTGTCAAAGAACCTGAGCGGCTTAATTCAGTTTTTGGGCATTTATGCTCTTGACCTTAGCGAACCAATCAGAGAAAGGCAACGTCTTCTCCCAATTCACAAATCCTGTTAGAAACTTAGCGTCTATTGCCGGGAAAATTTGGTTAGAAACTTTGCAGATATCGGCTAATGAAGAAACTTTTCCATAGTTAATTAGGCCTCAAGCTTCAAACGTTCAGCTTAATAACTTTTCTGCAAATTGTCTAGTGAATTTAGACATCGGTAGGAACTTTGTAGGTGCTGTTACCTACAAAGCAGATATGTTTTGGATACTTTTGTGGGTCGAAACAGTGCTTTAAATGTACACAGGGTGATTCCAAATTAGCGGCATTCCTTTCAAGGGGTGATAGAAGCTCCCTTAGGGAGTACGAGAAAAATATTGAAAATGTTTTTTTCGAAAATTTCTAGAAGGTATTAACAGTTGAAGATCGAATATCAATTTTGTTATTAAGCATTATTTTGAACTGGTTCCATGTTTAATTAGTAGCATATTGGAATACTTAAGCATTCAAAAAGAAAACGAAAATTTTTGATATCAAAAAAGTTCTCTTCTACAATTTTTTGATGAAAAGGCACAGCGGCAATGATGTTTGTTGTCATTAACACATAGTTACAGGTGGATAGCCCTTGTCAATAATGACAATAATTTGTCAAACTGTGACTTACTTTGAATTTCCTTTTACGAATTTGCGGATATGCGATTAGTCCAGGGGAAATGCTACATAGCAGAAGCCATGTTACTGTAGCATAAGACACAGAGGAACAAGTATTGGACATAATCGAATCAGGGCCTTCCGGGGGCACTCAGAGCACAATAACTGACACTTTCCCAAGCACCATATAAATACCGAGGAAGGGCTACATTCCTACCACGTTTGTACGATACACACAGCACAAGGAGATACAAATGGAGCACGAGTTAATTAACTGAATAC